ATAATTTATGTCTATTTCCATTTTTTTATGGTGGTCGTGAGATCGTTCATATCTACCGAACCCGTACAGAGATTAATTACAGAAAATAACAGATAAAATATAAAGTTTTTTCTTAAGAAACGTTTGATAACTATCTGGACATTATAAAGATTTCACATGTGAAATTTCAAAATTTTCTGATGCTTAAAAGTATTTTTAATTTTAAAATGAAAATTACTTTGCATGTTTGATAGACAACGTGTGAAAAAAAAAGGCACAAAAGAAACATTGCTTCACAAACCTTACGACTTAATAAAAAAATTTCGCGTATGAAAGCATTGTAGTATTTACCGATAATCTGCCAAATTTTATCAACATTCGCTTACTAATTTAAATGTTATAGCGTGAAAACCATAACCGCACAAAATGGTTACGAGGTCGTCACATTGACCGACCCCATATTGAACGAGTTACAGGGATTCTGGATTACGTTATGTACATGTATATTTCTAACATAATACACGTTTTGCAATATATCTAAAAAAAATACTACTCATTTTGTATATACCTGGAGTATATTATATATATACATACCTTAAGATCTCGATGAACTATATTTTTAGAGTGTATAAAATCTACTACTTCCAAAAGCTGCTTCATAATGGCCCTGAAAATACAGAAAAACATGGAATAGAATTGATTTAATTTTGCATGTATCAATGTATTCTTCAACCACGATTATATGCTTGGTCCTAAGAGGTCTCGCTTACACACCCACATCATACATAGCACTAGGTGATTAACTTGATTACCTATGAGCACTGATTACATCAACTAGTGTCACATAAAATAATTGACTAATCGATATTAGTGTTTACAATTATTACTATTTTAAATTATTCCAATTATCCAAGTCTAATGTGAGAATAATCGATTAGTTGACTGTAGTCGATTAACGAGCCCAGCGATTAATTAATCTGCAAATTGAACTAATCAACTAACACTTTGATTTCCCCTAAAATATTACATATTCACAAATACAGTGTTTGAACACTCAGTTACTAAGCAGATTGTAACAAATACAGAATATTGAAGTTATCATTTTCTTACATTGAAAATAGATTTCCAATAGATACTTACCTCCTCCCACACAACACCTTTCCTCGATCTTCTACTGCCCTCTAATGCATTGAAAAGAAATTTTTCTTGCTTGATGCACTAGCCTTTATATAACACTGTGAGTGGAGGTATGTATCGTATTGGAATTACATTCCAATTTTCAATTAAAGATTTACTTACTTTGTCTTTTTTTCTGAAAGTGCTACCACATTCGTCAGATAATCAAACAGTTCTCCATTTTTACACCTTTAGGGAAAGACAAAGGATAAAAATAACTAGGCCTGTTTCTTGTATACAGACTCATCATTCTTATTTAGAGCGATTAACCCTTTGTAGAATGTGGACTTTTTGGCATTTTTTATCAATATTTTCAGTATTTCTACCAATTTTGAAACTAAACAAAACAAAAAGGAAAAATAATCTGAGATGTTTTAAAACATAAATAAAAATATAATAGATATTGTACTTGTTTAAAAATAACTAGGCCTGGTTCTTGTGTTTGTAATGCATCAACTTCTACAAAATATAAACACATTACAGCAAACCTTCAAAAATTGAGTTACATATAACAACTAAGTTCCTAGGCATATATTATCTACTTAAGTGTGTAAGAGGGACATAAACAGATGTGTTTTCTGTTATATAAACTGGAAATAGGTAACACTAATTCTTATACAAAACAACACACTCAATGCTATCATCAGGAGTATTCTATATAACACAAAACTGTTTTGAAACAAAAAAATTTATACAATGAAATATTACCCCCAAAACCACTATAAGGATTATTATAATGTCCTGAAACTTATCCAATACTATAAACAATTCTATTAAAGTGGAATGTTCTGTAACACGTCATTATACATATCCAATACTATAAACGGTTCTATTAAAGTGGAATGTTCTGAAACACGTCATTATACATATCCAATACTATAAACGGTTCTATTAAAGTGGAATGTTCTGTAACACGTCATTATACATATCCAATACTATAAACGGTTCTATTAAAGTGGAATGTTCTGTAACACGTCATTATACATACCTTGTCAGAAATTACCACACATGGACTAATATCAGTCTAACAATACATAACATCATTAATTCATTAACCTATTTAAATGAACAGGACTACTGTTTGTTTATGTCTAGATCTAGCAAGATAGGAAGCACTTTAAATGGAAAACTCTGGCTGTTACTGTTGTTTATCAATTTTTGCATTAGTAATCCCTGATTTTGAAGTGAGAGACTGGAGGGAAGGCAGCTAGTCGACACCACCCACTGACAACTTATGGGATACACTAATCAAATAGTGGGATTTGACCATCACTCTTATAATGCACCAATGGCCTGAAAGTGCAGAGTGGGAATTTTCATTGAATAGTAATAGAGCCTGAACCATGAAACCTCAGATCTACAGTCAAGCATGTTAACCACTTAGTAGTGCTTGGCCCCTGGCTATTGTCACCCACCACTGCCTCATACAGTAACCTTTAAGTTGTTTGATTTATTGATTTTTCTGCACTATATGCAGTCTACAGTTTTTCCAGCCCATACTGTAAACATATTAATCATTTTTAATTCAATCTTTTTTAATTTCCACCTGTATCAACAAATTTTACATAAAAGCTCATGTTTTTATGCCGATAAATATATTATTTTTTATGCTGATGACGGAATTAAAAAATAAAATCTGAAAGTTGGTAAAGAAAATTTTTTTTTGATATTATCATGTTTTTGATACTTCTTTGAAAACTTCATTTTCCACCTTATAGATCATTTTAATATTTACACTGAAATAATCAAGTACGATCATGATAATAAATGTTAATAGTAAATGTTGGTCTCTGTTTTTCTTGCAGCAGGGTCACTTTTTTTAATTCAATTATATATATCATCTACCACACGTTGTGACAATAATCATTACTGGTTTTATCACGTGAAATCTAAGGACAATTATTTTTAATAAAGAATTAACTTTTAATAAAGCGGTCTTGTGAAAATTTGTCGGAAAGTAGAAACCCAACTGTTGTACCCGAAGATGTCTATATCATAAAAACGAAAGGTAGTTTGAAAATGTCTTTCGAAAATAAAGCTGAAGATAAGGAAGATTAGTCTTACATAAGAATAATTAATTTGTTGAATGTACTTGATAAATCCGACAATTAATCAATTAGTAAACTCCACTAATTGCTCAGATGTAACGTGTACTAGAAAAGATTCTGCTAAAAACTGGAATGTTCTATTACATGTCATCATACATATTTTGCACAATGAATAGTTATTGATTTGGTTACTTCAGAAAAAAGCCACATTGGGCTAACTGCTGTGTCCAATGTGGGAAATCAAACCCCTGAATTTAGGACTGTAAGTTTGTAGCCTCACCACTGTCCCACCAGGGGACAATAGTTATTGATTTGGTTGCTTCAGGAAAAAAAGCCACATTGGGCTAACTGCTGTGTCCAATGTGGGAAATCAAACCCCTGATTTTAGGACTAAGTTTGTAGCCTCACCACCGTCCCACCAGGGGACAATAGTTATTGAAGGGAAGATGAAAGTTCAAATATACATTTAAATTTTGACTTTGTTCTGTGAAGTTTTGTTGTTTTTATTATAGGAAAGACAAGATCTCTTATCACTCAATTTTAACTTTAAACAGTAAAAGCTAGTGAATTATTGGAAACCTAAATTTCGTTATAAAAATCAAGTTAACAGCCCAATTTTTTCTTCTCACATTCCTCTTAATATGTTTATTGTGGCTTGAAATCAGATGTGTAACAATAGCATTGAAAGGAATGTTAAAAAAACAACATCTGCAGTTAATTTGATTTTTATTATGAATTTGAGGCCAATATTTTTCCAGTTTTCAGTGTTTAAACTATAATTTGTAAAGTATTATACTGCACATATAAATAGAATTTCATAAGATATTTTGTCTCTCATCGTCCAGCACATGTGATGAGTTCTGGGTATTGAATGAAAAGCTTCTTAGGTAGTGACTTGTGGAAGGCAAAAAGATAGATCTGAAATGCTATTTGTGCACACACACACACACACCACAATTTTTACCTGCAATGGACACGTTAAAGAAGAATGTGGGGAAACAAATCTGCAGTTAACGTGATTTTCGTGACAAATTTTGATAACAAAGTTTTTTGTGATATTACTATTAAATAAGCTATTTTTCACAGTTATACACGTACAAACAAGCATTAATTTTCTGCAAACTCTTAAGAAATACATTGAAAAACTATAATTTAAACACTTATATAGTGTGCTCTGACAAAGCATGTTGCTTAAATATACGTCTTTATAAGCTGTTTAATGCATACTTTACACTTCTGTCAAACTAATGATTCAGGAAAGCCTTTAACTGTTACTGCTATAAATGCACACAGAATTTTTGTTAGCTGTACACCATATATGTCACACTCACATGCAACTGCTGGAGGCAGACTGTACCCTATCAGTAATAAATGAGTTAAGCACAGCACCAAATATTATCAACCATTAACACACAACTCTGAACTATAAATACAAGTTAAAAAAAACAGTTATGTTTGGTTGTGCCTCCAGACAACTGATACAGAGCACCAAATAAGTTGAGTTATATATATGTTGATGAGTTTTGCGCTTACACTACTGAAAGATTGAAAGAAGATAATGTTACACATTTATGTACATTATAAGACATATCTTTTCTCACAATTGATTTTTCAATAAACAGTGATAATACTTACAATTCAAATACTAAAAAGATAAACGTCGCCGATTCAAACACATCATGAAGTTCAACTGAAAAGAATTAAAATGACAAAATGTATTTCCCAAATATCTTGTGAAAGGCTTAAAGTTAGTAGCAAACCACTAGACAAATGTCAAGCTTGATACCCGAGTAGGTGAAATTTACTTCTCTTATTTAGTCTGATTCAATTGTATTTTTAAAACAGATTATGATTTACATATTACCCTAGTATCACACATGGTACAATACCCTAGTATCACACACGGTACAATACCCTAGTATCACACACGGTACATTACCCTAGTATCACACACGGTACATTACCCTAGTATAACACATGGTACGTTACCCTAGTATCACACATGGTACGTTACCCTAGTATCACACATGGTACGTTACCCTAGTATCACACATGGTACGTTACCCTAGTATCACACATGGTACGTTACCCTAGTACCACACATGGTACAATACCCTAGTATCACACATGGTACAATACCCTAGTACCACACATGGTACAATACCCTAGTACCACACATGGTACAATACCCTAGTACCACACATGGTACAATACCCTAGTACCACACATG